GTCCTGTCACCAAGTGGTTAGAGCTGCTACTAGGTATGTGAGCCCAGGAGTCTGTTTGCTTTCTTGTGTGGATTCAGCTCAGATGTCAGGTCCTCGGTTACTGAGAGTGTGGTGTAGGCTCTCATCTACAGCCCTAGATGGGCAGGGCTATGTAAGAATGATTGGAGCAGGCACAGGTATCTGCCTGCAGTAGGGGGTTATAGGCTGAGCAAGGTAGGGGGCTGATGGCTGCCCTGAATACCTAGGTGGAAGGCATGTCCCTGTTCTCTAGAACACATAGGTGGATGGGTTTTGCAGCTGGACTTTGGGCACCCAATGCTGTTGGCTGTAAGAACTGGAGGCACCACTTATTGTCAGACCCCTGTCATGGGTGGCTAGGTGGAATGGGTGAAGCCACCAGTCCTCAGGCCTGTTATGTAAGTGGGTGAGGACTCTGCTTAATGGGCGGGGCAGTGTCAAATGTCAGGAATCTGCCACTCCCCCTTAGCTGTTGCAGTTGAAAATAGGCTTCAGGTATATACCCTGTTGTACTATGCTAATAAGGGCCTATGCTGTTGAGTGGGCACACACAGGTCTAGGCAGGGGTGAAGTGCATTTGAATTCCATGGACCCCTTATGCCTGTGCCTAGGCAAAGAGGCAGTGCCTGCCCTGAGTTCCTGGCTTAGGGGGCATGGTGATTTTTTAAAGCCGTGAGAGCTGGTTTGGGCACGGTTAGTCCTGAGTACCCAGCTTATGGGAGTTGGCAGGGTTTTTTTTGTTTTTTCCCTAAAGCCGGGAGACTGGTTTGGGTGGATAGTTCCTATTTCTGGCTTAGGGGGCATGGCAATTGTTGAATACTTCCAGACTGCTATTGGAGTGGAACGGGGAGGGGGTAGGTGAGGGGAAAAGAGGCATTTCTCTGCTACAGAATTCCCAGAGGGGGAAGGGTTATTTTGATCCCGGTAGGTTAGATGCTTACACTTAGCACCACTTCCCCCCAGCTCCAGAGGCTTGTGTAGACTCTGGGCCACCTGGTTTCTCCCAGTGGGGTAAAAGGCATCCGGAGCGCTACTGCTTGCCTCAGCCCATGTGCACCAGCCAATCCAGCCTTCAGGGTGCCAGCTAGCTCAGATCTGGCACTTCTTCACTGCTTCTGAATTGTCTCTCCCCACTCCCTGCTGTTCAGTCCAACTCCTCAACTTTGTCTTTGATGTTCAGGGCTCCTAGATTGTCATATATAATCAGTTCACTTGTTTTTTCAGGTCTTTGTTGTAAGAGGGACCACAGGAAGCGTCTGACTATTCTGCCATCTTGGCCCCGCCTCTGGATTCTCTTTCCCCCTTGTGAAGTTAGAGGAAGTCAGACACTGCCCCCGTGACATTTTTACATCATTCCTCTTGTGGACTGGCCTCTCCCTTATCATGTACATTCTGTGTGTGTGGGTGTGTGTGTGGGGTGGGGGGGATCAAATCCAAATTCTTGACCTCCCAATACATAAGTTCAAGGAGTCTCTGGACTCAACTACTCACACCTCCCCAGTGGAAGGGGGTGTTAGACCCTATTTGCTCCTTTGGGATTTTGAATTTGAGCAGTGATGATGGAGGAGAATTTGGGTAAGACTTTCAACAACTTTCACCTACTAAGACCTCCTGGAGTTTTCTTGTTCCTGTCTTTCTCAAGCCCGGTTGGTTCTTCTGCCTTGTCTTCAATTCTTATCCTTCCTGTGTAATCCCTTTGTTGGTTAACTAGAATTGGTTTCTGTTGCTTACAACCAAATAATCCCAGACATTTGGTTAAATTTGAAAAAGCAAGATACAGAATAGGGTGGGCGTAAGAGAATTGTGTCAGGGTTTTCTTTTTCTTCTTTCTATAGATGCATTTGCATGTAACAATTTTGGAAGGATATACTAGAAAGTGTTGATGGAGTTATTTTTAAGACTCCTTTCAGGGCCAGTATTTTGTGTTTTTTCTGAATTGACTCCAAGATCTGTTTCCTAACATGTCCCTGAATTAAGTTATTTTAGGATTGTCTGCACTTCTGTGTTATTTGGAAATCTACTCTTTTTAACTTAAGAGCTAATTGAGCAATGCCTTCTCAGTAAGGAAAAACCACCACATCCAACACATCCTAAAGGCAGCTCCCTCTGAATCTTCCCATCTGCTCCAAACCTCTTACCTGGATTAAGACCCTTCTTGCAGTTGACTCTATTTTGTTTTAAGCTTTGCTTGTTACTTCCTCATAGAGTGACAAGGGGTTATCAGAAAGCAGGTGGAAAAGATTAGCATGAGAGTAGCCAGATGAACCTGGAGTTGGGAGTGAATACATGGACAACAGCTTTTGACCCTGATGAAAAACAAGCGAAAGGGAGCAAAAGCAGGAAGGAAATGGGAGGGAAGAGGGGAGGGGCAGCAGCCTCTTTCTTGAGGGTCAAGGACAGATTCAGGAACCTTAGGGTAGAAAGCAGACTGTGCAGCAGGCCAGATCAAAAGCAGAACAGAAAAACCCAAACCTTTTCTGAATTTCAGGGATAATGGAACATTCGTTTTTTTACTTTTCATACTTCTTCCATGACACCTCATTTTCACTCTAAGTAGTGGAGGGCCAGGACAAGCCTTCTTAGTTTATAGGCAAGGAAGCTGAGGCTGAGAGTAACTTGCCCAAAGATACCCGATAAGGTGTTAAAAGAGATATTAGAATTCGTTTCCAGATTCTGCAGCCAAACCACTTTCTTGCCACCGGGTTGCACTGCTTTCATTAACCTTCTTAGAAGCAATTATTTTCTAAGGATCTTCTTACCTTTGCAAGTCTTTTTAAAAGGCCAGACTCCAGTACATGCCCTAAAGAAATACCAATTAGGGTTTCTTATAGACGGCCTTTTACCTGCAGCAATGTAGACACAGGCTACTCATATTGCAGCATCCATTTTATACTACCAATGTGTTCCTACCATTTTTATGTATATGGAACCAGATTTCTCCACACATTTAACACTATAAACCCATAAAAACCAAACTCATTGCCTTCGAGTCCATGCCAACTCACAGCGACCCTGTAGGACAGAGTAGAACTGCCCCATAGGGTTTCCAAGGCTGTAAATCTTTATGAAAGCAGACTGCCACATCTTTCCCCCGCGGAACGACTGGTGAGTTCGAACCTCTGACCTTTCGGTTAACAGTCGAGCGCTTTAACCACTGCAGCACCAGGGTTCCTCATTTAACACAATTTAACACAATAACCACAAAAAATCCTTTATCTTCCTTCCTGCAGAAAGCGTAATACTTTCTTCTTTCTTATCCTAAACATCCCTCAAATATAACTCAGGAAACAGTATTAAGAACTAGGACATGGAAATATAGATTGCAGCTCTCTACTGGGTGGCAGTCCGGAAGAATTTTAGCACGCTGGTTTCGTCTTTCCTCAACTACAGTTCCCAAGTGTAACGTAACTATTTATGTACCTGTTTCTCCCTCTATAGTGTGAGCTCCTTAAGAGCAGAAATTATGCCCATTTATCTGTATATTCCTAATGCCTAGCACAGTGCCTGTCACACAGTAAACTGGTGGTTAATGTCCACCAGGTCCAGCTGGATACCGCAGGGATTCTAACTGTCCTGGAGAGTACACGCAGGACTGAAGCAGAGCCGGACCCTGGACCCCGGACCCAGAGCCTTGCTGTTTGAGGACAGCACACTAGAGCCTGCCTGAGCAATGCTGCTTTGGTGCTGTGGAATTTTTCTTTTCCCTTCCCTTCCCCCATCCTAATAATCCACTGGCTACTTTCTCCACATCAGAGAGTACTAGTGCCTCTTTCGTGGAACGTGGCTTCCCATACACAGGGCTGAGGGGCTTTAACCATCCTAAAATGCCTGGTCTTTCCTCTGGGCATGCCTCTGGAGTATACAGAGACTCTGATCCTAACCAAACAGCCAAATGATCCTTCCTTCTACCTCTTCATTCCAGGCACTCACATTGCAAATGGCTTGAAGAGAGGTATGAATGTCTATGTTGGACATACATTTATCCTTAGCAGGGGCAACACTGCAAACGATGTTAAGGGATCCATCCACTGATGTAATTATTTTAGCAAAAATTATTCTGTTAGCTTTGTGACAATCACTTTCTATTTATATAATGATTACTGCAGAATTTTGATATCCTGTCTGCTACTGCTTTAAGGAGCCCTGGTGGCACAGTAGTTAAACACTCAGCTGCTAACTGAAGGGTCAGCGGTTCGAACCCACCAGCCACTCCATGGTAGAAAGATGTGGCAGTCTGCTTCAGTAAACCCTATGAGACAGTTCTACTCTGACCTATAGGGTTGCTTTGAGTCAGAATCAACTTGAGGGCAATAAGTTTAGTTCACTGCTTTAAGGGTAGGGGGTAGGCAGCTATTTACCATAAAGTAAGGAGTCTAAGTATAAATTCTAGACCCCAAACAAAAATCTGGTAAGGAGTCTTATACCCTACCCTCACCTCCCAGACGGACATTTCCCCCTCTGGCATCTTCCCCAACAATCTGGGTAGGATCGCACTTAAGGGAACATGAACTCAGAAGGGGCTCAGGGAGCTGATTTTACAGAAAAGGTTACAAAGGTCTTGCTCAATACAGTTTGCTCAAAGGTGTGAATCCAAAGAGAAGCATGTTAATTCCAGAATAAGTCTTATGTAATGAAGTGTCCTCCTATCTCCTAGCTTTCTCCTTGTCCAGCAGAAACAAACTTAACGATTGAAGAGAATTTCCTGGAGACTGAGGATCATTTTCCTTCCTTGGCTAAGTGTGTCCCACATGACAGGAGTAGGGGTAGAGGCTAGAGATGTCCATGACTGAACTTCCTCACTGACTAATTTGTTAACTGTTTGGAAAGGACAAATCAATGAAAATCCTCTCTCTTCACTGGTTAGGTTAATGTTTGATAATCTGGTAAAACAGATTTCAATAGAACTCCTACTGAATACTTACCCTCTTCTTCTGGGAAAAGCAGCCATTCCTATTTGCAAAATCAAGACAATCACAGTTGCACATTTTCCCAAATCTTTGGCTGTATTGCAATGGTTGTTTCATTTTGTAATCTCCAACTAAACATTTCCTAACCATGGATTAACAATATAGTTACTGACTGGTTTCTTTTAACAGTATTTATCCAACATAACAAAATAAACTGCAATTTGTTATACTTTTTTTTACAAAACATTTTATAAATATTTTTACAAAATGTATACAAAGCAATTTCAAGTGAGACATACTATACAAATGAAGGTATTTAAGCAAATAAAGCCCACACCACACCGACAGTCAGTGACGCGTCCTCTTTAAGTCAAGTCAGTCTGTAAGGCCTCCCTAATCTAACAAAGTCTACTGAATTCTTCAGAGCTAAAATATTTCTTTTTCGTAATTGCCAGTTTAAAATTTGCTTTATCTTTAGGCAGTACTTAAGGACACAGAAAATCAAACGCTTAATAACAAATTCACACGTCTCCACAACAACAGAAAGGAAAAAAAAGAAGAAAATGATTTTTGTTACTGAGTACAAGTAGTCCTAAACTTAACTTTGACTAAAGAACCTGAACAACTAAATGCTGGCCATCTGAGGCTGAACTCTCTCACCCTTCACCAGAGGGGGCTCGACATGCGAGTTACGACCCATGTGCGCATAACCTAATCACAGGAGTAAAATACATTTTGAAATCTTCATTTGTCATTATCTAGAATCTTTCCTCCACAAAAAGTAAACTTACATACAAGGACACAAAAATTTACAAGTTTCATTTTGGTAAATTAGGCTCTCCATTTGCTAGACAAGGGTTAGGGCGTAAAAACCCGTTAAGATGGTATATAGAAAAGCTAGGGTGGGGGGAGCAGGGCAGGACGGGGAAGGGAGTGACAAATGTACATGAAACTTATCTTGTCTCTTGAGAATTCCACTGATTAGAAGTAATTAATGTAACTCATCAGCAGCCTAGGTAAAGGCTTCCAGGCATAAAGTTCCACAATGAGAAGAATTTGATCAGGAGGGACCATCTGTAAGTCTTGCTAGGAATTAGGGGAGCATGAGACCTAAGAGAAGAAGAGCCTATGAAATCATGGGGGTTCAGGGCAGGGTGTTACCCTAGGGCTGCCCAAACAGAAAGTTCCAACTGGCAATACCAACTTATCTTTCTAATATGTTACAGTACAGGAAAAGGGGGGATATCTGCAACTTGGACATTGGCACAAATAAGGAAAAAATGGTAACCCTAAAATAGCCCAGTTTTTCCAATTTCTCTTGGCCGGACAGAGGGAGAGAAAGTACTCTGCTTTTATGAAGGCTGGCTGTCTATGTGTGGCGGGGCAGGGCGGCAGGGAGAGTGTAGGCCTTCTGTTGCTGTGTTTTGTAATAATCAGAAGCCTGCCTTTCCATCTCAGGCCGGTCTGGAAAAGAAATGCCCAACATGATGACAAAGGGGATCATCCCCATTCTGGGCATAGCCAGAAGCAGATCCTGGCAACACGTTAGAGTGGAGTCCAGTGGGTGTGCCTCTAAAGCCAGAGAGATAAACAGAATAAATGAGAGAGAAAGTGTATGCACACTGTAACCAAAATGACTTCTGGATCTGAACAGCTCATATACACACACACGTGTATGTAAGTGGGCATATAAAATACCATTATGTCGATAACCCAATGACAGCAGATAACCAGTGGTTACGAGGACATTGAGCATGAAAGTGCCAACAGAAATGGAATGCCCTGGGGCAGGTATACAAGAATGAAAAAGGGGAAAGCTCCCTGAAAAGAAATATAAATAAATAAAGCAGTAGGTCGTTCTCGCTAAGATGAACATGGGCCAAACACAAACCGTGACAGGGCATACCCTTTGGCTCTCCCGGGGGACTCCCCGGGTCTCAGATCTTTCCTTGCAGTGCTGGGCTGGCTGGTGACCTTTGGTTTGTCTGTGTTTTGGTTGCTGCCAGGGGTGACTACTGTTCTCGGACAAGAAGAAGCATAAACAAGGCCAAAGTCCCCTTGAAGTTCAAACTAAAAAAATTACAACATCGTTTTCAAATGAAAGTGCTTTTGATGTTTGGCTATTTGTTGGAGAGGGAGGGAGGAGATGTGCAACGAAACAAAACCCAGCAACAGACAAAAACATACCACAGTATCTGTTGACTATAGCCAATTAAAAAATGCAAAACTTTTTTTTTTTTCTTCAACAGTTCACACATATATGCTTTTACATATATACATATGAAAACCCCCAGGGCTCTTTCCCGGTCTCCCCTGTACACTGTGCCACTTACTGGTTTCCACTTTCCTTTACTTAGGCTAGCGAAATTATTTCAAGGCATGCTGTTGCGATTAAGAACAGAGCACTCCCTAGATGGAATTCACCATGGATGTGCTGAGAAGCATGAAGTTTTGCTCCAGGAGCATCAGGAAAGCACTTGAATGATGAGCAAGGAAGCCCTGCAAATGCCCTGCTGGTGCACTGCTAGCTTCTCATGCCAGGGCTGCAGGGTCCCCGGCAAAGCAGCCACCAACTTCCTGCTCAGAGATGGTTGTGTGGGGAAGGACCAGATAAATCTCCCCTGCAACCAAAAAAAAACCTCCGCAAAACCAAAAACCAACCAAAATTTGGAGATACAGTGGGATATTCTTTAAAAAGTAGCTTCTATCAGTCCTGTGTGATTCTCTTTAATAGGTCTGTTCTTTTCAAATGACTGATTGTCAAATTTTACCCAGGGCCAAGGATACTGTGATCTCAATGAGTTACAGTGTTTAAAAAAAAAAAAAAAAAAAAGGCAAGCAAACAAACAAATCACTCTAAGCACTTTCATAACACTTGAAATGTGTAGGGCCTATCAGACTGCTTCCTAACAAGGATTACTTTTGCTAAGGATCTCTCTGTAACCACGATGAGTATTGCTCTTAAACAAAGAACAGGGCTGAGATTAGAAAGAATAATTTGTGATGAAAGACCAAGCAGGCTGGAGACAGGAGACCGTTTCCATTTGCTTTTGCCAGGAGAGAATGTAACTTGTCCGGGGCGGGGGTCTGCGGGGGGGCAGGGAAGGACTGCTGCTATTAACACTCTAGGATACTATTTACAGCTGCTTCTAAAATGGAGTCAGTTTCTACAACGCCTTCGCTATGGTCCGGTATGAACTTTTCCAGGCAGTTTTCCTGCAAAGCCATTGGTGAAAAGTTGGGGAAATCTAATTCAACAGAGCCACTAACCGCGGGGTCACTCTGAGGCTGCCTCCCGGCCTTTTTGAGTTCCAAGATGTTCTTAAATGTTGTTTCTAGGCTCTTACTGAGCTGGAGGTCTGGCTGGGGCTCGCCTGACCCTTTCATGTCTGTGTGTAAAACTTCATTCTTTGGAGAATTCCTCAGAGTTTTGTCTTGGAAGGAATTGTTACATGTCATCTCCAAGTGAGAATCTACCAGGATACTTGAGAGCTTGCTCTCAGTACCATGATCTGGTCTGGATGAGGTTTTCCGGTGGCCTTCGGGGCCGGGAGAGCACTCACTGGCCTTCAGGGAGTCTCTCCGGCTGGTTTTCTCTTCAGACGCACTCCGGTATTGGACTAAGCCCGCTTTGTCAAATTTCAGTGCTCTGCTGAGGCATTCAGTTTTTTTAGAAATGTTTCCTTCTGCGGAGACCACGATGTGATTAGGCACTAGATGAAACTGGTCGTGATTCGTGGGTTCTGCCACGCCTGGTGTGGCTCGGTCTCTGCTCTGGGCCTTGGCTGTCAGATGTAAGGAGCTGGTTGTTTTACTGCCATGCTGGTCACTCCTGCCAAACTGGGTCTCATGGGTGGCTTTATCAAGTTTGAAGGAACAACAAAAATCAGCCTGAAAGCCATCTGAAAGTGGGAAATAAAAAGCACATGAATGAATGAATGAGAGAGTAAGGACTATATGCTATACCCTCAGCGGGTCAGGTGAGGAGGCAAGCCGACCCCAGCCCACCCACCGAGGCAGTCTATGTCTTGTACAGGAACATGCGGAAGCACGACACTGAGAGACCAGTTAACCAGCCGCTGTCAACTTGATGCCGCTTCACGGCAAAGCCCACGCATGTCAGAGTAGAACGTGTTCCATAGGGTTTTCAATGGCCGATTTTTTGGAAGCAGATCGCCAGGCCTTTCTTTTGAGACACCTCTGACTGGACTCGAACCTCCAACCTTTTGGTTAGCAGCCAAGCACATTAACCATTTGTACCACCCAGAGACTCCACGATACTGAGATGGCATCCTGTAGAAGTAACCAAGGCTAGAGAGCTGCAGCTTCCAGATGGGAAGCTTAAACCTCTTTGAAAAGGTAGCTGCCTAGAAAACCAGATGGGCAAAAGGCTCTGCTTAGTCCTGATCTCTCAGTGTTATTTTTAATTAGTTTTTCATTAATGAGCACTTTGAAACAGTCTGAAAACAGAAATTAGGTGCTGGTATCAGCCTGATTTCTTCCTTAGAGTCAAGGGCCCTGGAATGAGGCTCTGGAGCCATGGACACACCTACTTGTCTTTAGGGTGGGGGCTTCGGTCCATCTAGACACACTCGAGGGACCCTGGCATATCTAGATACACTTTGCTGGGAGCACAAAATGAACGGTCAACATGAATCCAGAATGATACCTGCTTGGCAGGACAGTGGGGTGTGGAGAAGCTGTGCCTATGAGTGAGCACTGAACTGTGTCAGGCTTGAAGAATAGGAGGATGGCAAGAGCAGTGTGCCTGAGAATTTAGGGGCTGAGGGGACAGACAGAGGTCACACAAGGTCAGAAAAAGTGCTAACTCTGGAAGTAATGGAAGCGAAAGAGGGCTCTGATGACATTATAAAACCACAAAGAATATGTATAGGATGAACACAAATTTGTTCACCAAATCCCAAAATGTGAGACCTCAAGGATATACCCTTGAAACCTAAAAAGATTATTCCATCCAACGAACAGTGGCTCTGCAGGCACCATGCAGAGGTAAGTGAAAGCACCGTCCCCACCCATGTGGTGCTCATGCTGTGGGGTTAGGACAAAGTAGGAGGGTTTATCCATAAGCCCAATTCACCAAAAGACAATAGGATGATTTCAGGTTCCAAGAAAAAGGGACAGAAATATATCATACATTATTCTCTTCCTCTTTGGAATGATATGAGGATCTTCCCATGTACAAAGCACTTCTTTCAGACTCTCCCTTTAGACTAAGAATGTAGTGTGGTTTTTATGTCCTATCAAGTTAATTGCAACTCAGAGTTACCCTATATGCATCATAGGATTTCCTAGGCTGTAATCTTTACAGGAGCAGATTGCCAGGTCTTTTCTCCAGTGGGGTGACCGGTGGGTTTGAACTGCCAACACTTCAGTTAGCAGCTGAGCACTTAACCCTTGCACCACCAGGGCTCTTTAGACTAAGTATGTTGTTGTGTACCATCGAGTCAATCCTGACTTACAGAGACCCTATATGACAGAGTAGAACTGCCCCATTGGGTTTCCTAGGCTGTAATCTTTATGGGAGCATACTGCCAGGTCTTTTCTCCCTCGGAGCTGCTGGTGGGTTTTAACCACCAACCTTTCGGTTAGCAGCTGAGTGCTTAACTATTGTGTCACCAGCGCTCCTCAGACTAAGTATAAGGATCATATATTCATTTTGGAAGCTTCTTCAGCTGTATCAAGCACAAGGCAGAACTTTAATACTTAAGTATCAGAAAAGACATTAGGGGAATGGAAATAAAGCCACAGGAAATATAGTCCAGTAACAGGGAAATTAATTAGCTAAGTTGTCAAATTAGTATATTACAAATTTATTGACTATTAATTTGAAGACTGTAGCAATATGATAAAAACTTGAGATGTGTTAAATGAGAAGAAATCGGAATATAAAATCACATTTAGCATATGACATATGATTTTAACAATACATAAATGACATATGTAAGTGGGAACCAGATTGGAAGAAAAATTAGAGAAATAAAATCACTTTTTATCTAGGATGGTGAAAGTATGGCCAAAATTTACATTCTTTGAATTGTTATAATTTTGCTTTAAAAATATTATTTAGACAACAACGACAAAAACTAGAGATCTCATTTTTTAAAAGGCAGACTGTGGATCAAATCTAAAATACATTTTTACTGTACAGAATCAAATCTAAAATATAGAAAATTGATGGGATAAGAGAACAGTACTTAAATAAGGTGTTACAATTCACTAGCTTGTGGGCAGGGACTGTTTTACTGGCTTTTCCCCCTCATGCTGCCTTGCATATAGCAAGGCACTCAATAATTTGCTGAAGTTTAACTGCTTCTGAGAATGACTTAATTTAGTTCTCAAAAAATAGGAGAAAGGTTAAGAATTTTAAGTTTACAGTAGGGAAAAATAATCAATTAACTGAACAAAAAATTCTAGCTTAGATTTTGTAGAATATAGACTGTGGTGGTTAAGATTGTGTTGCAACTTGGCTGGGCCATGATTCTCAGTGTTTATATGTGATCACTCCCATGGTTGAATCTGCTGTGAGTAGCCAATCAGTTGAAAGGGAATTTCCTTGGGGTTGTGGCCTGCATCCAAATATAAGCAGATGCTCTGGCTTTTTGCTCACTCTGGATCCTGTGGCTGCCTCCTGCTTGTCTGACCTCTGGTTCTTAGGACTTGAGCTATTAGCTTATCTGCCGATCCTAGGATTCGTGAATCTTCACAGCCTGTGAGCGGTGTCCTGCTTTTCGACCTGCCGATCTTGGGTCCACCAGCCCCTGTGGCTACATGAATCGGGAGAAGCCTCTATCCTAACCCACGGGACTTGGGACGTTCCAGCCTCTACAATCATGTGAGCTGTTTCTTTGTTATAAATGTCTCTCTATACATATTTATATACTTTACTGGTTTTGCTTCTCCAGAGAACCCAGCATAAGACATAGATCTTAAGAGTATTCATATACTGCTCTTCACTCTGTTTTTTTTCTCCCCAGAATTCATGTTTTACCTGCAGGTTTCATACCCAAAGGTCGGTTTCAACACCCTACCTAAAGGCCCGTGGGTCCCTGAGCCATAGTGGTAGCTCTCCCCATTTTTCACTTTGATGTTTCTTACCAGGGTCTACGAGTGCCAGACGCTTGTCCCGGGACAGAGAAGCTCTTTCTTCCTGGTTGAACATTCTATCAATCATCACCATTTCAGCAGAGGGATCGATCCGCTGAAAAGGAGAGAGTCCAGTCATTTCAGAGGCCTTTTATCAACTAAAAACATCTCACTTCAACTTTGAACAAATGAAGCAACCAGAAATGAGAATTTGATGTTTTAGTTCTAATCATGTGTCATTTGGTCTCATTTATCCTAGTCACATAGGATAAATTTTTTTTATCATATTTTTTTCAGTAATTTTGCAGGTAATTTACACACTGGTACAAAATTTAAAAGGTATTAACGGGTATGTGAAAAGTAAGCGGCCCTTCTTTTTCTCCTCTGTACACCCCTTACCACACAGTGCCTCTTCCCAGAGGTATCCTCTTGCCTAGTAGGTTCTTAACATAACTCTTCTAGAGATTTTTTATGCTACACATAAACATATGTATCTTTATTTTTGCATATAAATGGTAGCTACTATCCATACCGTTTTGCACCTTTCTTCCCTCTCCACTCTTTACTAAACAATGGAGCCCTGGTGGCACAGTTTTTAAGAGCTCAGCTGCTAAGCAAAGGGTGGGTAGTTCGGATCCACCAGCCACTTCTTGGAAACCTTATGGGGCAGCTCTACTCTGTCCTATAGGGTCACTATGAGTCAGAATCAACTTGACAGCAATGGATTTGGTTTGGTGTTTTTCTGGACTTAAACAATATATTGGAAATCTTTCCATTAGGATGCAATTCAAATCCACCAGCCGCTCCTTGGAAACCCTATGGGGCAGTTCTACACTGTCCTATACGGTCGCAATGAGTTGGAATCGACGAGATGGCAATGGGTTTGGTGGTTTTTTTTTTGTTTTCAGATACTTAAATTTTTTTTTAATTGAGGCTTTCCTTAAAATTAAAATTAAATTTGCTGGACAGAGCCAAATCTTAAATTATATTTCTGGGTCTTATTTAACATGAAAATTCATGACAGGTATATGCTAATCTGGCCGAATGGTCCTTTCCTCAGAAATGATGTTATTGTTAGTTGTCATTTTGTCAGTTTCAATGCACGGCCTCCCCATGTGTTAGAGTAGAATTGCTCTATAGGAGTTTCTTAGCTGTAATCTTTTTTTTTTTAATTTTATTGTACTTTAGATGAAGGTTTACAGAACAAACTAGTTTCTCATTGAACAGTTAGTACACATATTGTTTTACAACATTGGTTAACAACCCCATAACATGTCAACACTCTCCCTTCTTTAACCTTAGGCTTCCTATTATCAGCCTTCCTGTCCCCTCTCGCCTTCTAGTCCTTGCCCTTGGGCTGGTGTGCCCCTTTAAGTCTCATTTTGTTTTATGGGCCTGTCTAATCTTCAGCTAAAGGGTGAACCTCAGGAGTGACTTCATTACTGAGCTAAAAGGGTGTCCAGTGGCCATACTCTCAGGGTTTCTCCAGTCTCTGTCAGGCTAGTAAGTCTGGTCTTTTTTTGTGAGTTAGAATTTTGTTCTACATTTTTCTCCAGCTGTGTCTGGGACCCTCTTGGCTATAATCTTAATAGAAGCAGATCACCAGGCCTTTTCTTCTGCGGTATCATTGGGTGGGTTCGAACCACCAACTTTTAGGTTTGTAGCTGAGTGTAAACCATTTGCACCACTTAGGGACCTTCTGCAAATGATAGAGCTAGTCTTTTTTTGATGTCTCAAAGTTTTGTTTCAGAAATGGTTGTCAATATGAGACAATTTCAGACTGGAGGCACAGTTGTAAGTAAATATATATACACACATATATATGTATGTAAACATATATATGTATATATATATAAACCAAAACCAAACCTGTTGCTGTCGAGTCAATTCCAACTCACAGCGACCCTATAGGCCAGAGCAGAATTGCCCCATAGGGTTTCCAAGGAGCGGCTGGTGGATTCAAACTCACAACCTCTTCTGGTTAGCAGCAGAGCTCTTAACTACTGCGCCACCAGGGCTCCATATAGATATATATAAAATTTATTTATACAGACACATATACAAACACATACATATTTACACTATATGGTAATAGGTACAGTATAGTTCTATATATATATATATAGAATATATATATACAGTATAGTATAGTTCAACTGATCTCTCAAAGATATATTTTCAAACTTAATCTCAAATTGAAAACGACTTGTAAGAAACCAGTTAAATATCAATTACAGTCATACAAACAAAAACCTATATGATTTTAGAGCTGCTTATAAAAATCCCAGAATAGGTTGTTGGGTCTTTCCATTATTTCCTGAGATAGCTTCTTTCTCTTATTAACTGATGCTTTAAAATTAATTTTCATTTCTTTTTGGGGTGATGAAAATGCTCTGGAATTAGACAGTGGTAGTAGTTGCACAACCATGGTAATATACTAAAAACCACCAAACTGTACACTCTAAAATTATGATGGAAGTGCTGTCTGGGTTGGTGAGAGGCAGTAGACAGCATCAGAGTGTGGGCTGGTGAGTGACAGAAGGTCCTGGTCTGTATCTTAGTTCTGGGTAATTATTCTGCAAACTTACTAGCTCTATGATCTTGGATGAGTCATTTAACCAAAGCCCTTGTTGTTGTTGCTAGCTGCTGTAGAGTTGGCCCCCGACTCATGGCAACCCCATGCACAATGGAACAAATGCTGCCCGGTCCTGTGCCACCCCCATGATCGCTTGTGGATCGGGCCATTGTGATCCATAGGGTTTTCATTGGCTGATTCTCAGAAGTAGATTGCCAGGCCTTTCTTCCTAGTCTTAGTCTGGAAGCATCATTGAAACCTGTTCAGCAACACAACAACACATATCCTCCATGAAGGGTGGGTGGTGGCTGCACCTGAGGTCCACTGGCTGGGAATTAAACTCAGGTTTCCCGCAAGGAAGACAAAAATTCTACCACTGAACCACCAAAGCCATGGTTTTCTCATTTATTAAACAAGGAAACAATAGTACTGTGATCGATTGTGTAAAGTACAGCAAATGTTAGCTGCTATTAGTAGTAGTAACAGCCAAGTGTATGTTTTTCTACAGTCTTAAATATCTGTGCCTTCTAAAGTATATTCTGAAGATATAATTTCTTGAACTTCTTCTCTTAGCAGCGGTAAACCTGTGGGGTTTTAAAAAACAAATATGCTTGGTAGCACAAATTTTACCATGGCGTCTTCTAGGAGTAGACATCTGTATTTGTTAAGCATAGCTTGAGTTCTTTTTAGGAGCTGAGTGGCAACTGTTTCAAATTCATTGTCCACTTTAAAAAAAAATAGAGAGAAAACAGTAAGAGAGTGTAATTCACCCACTAGGTCTTTTATTTCTTAGGATTGAAATGCACTACTTTTCCAAAAGTTCCGTTATTCAAACATGGCTTCTCCATGGTAATTTTCTCTTCTTAGATTAGGCTTCTCCTTGGTTAAGCATCGTCCTTCTGCACTGCTTTCTCTCCCTGCCCACTGGTATGTGGTCACAGAAACTCATTTTAATATTTGCCTATTTTAACTTTAACTGGGAAGCCAAAAACATAATACCTTTAAACACAGTATGTAAAAGAAAACCATATAACACAGACTAGTAACTAACATCAGTGAATAGATAATGATCTGCTAGTTCAGATGATCTAAGCCTCCACTCCCTTCCAATCATATAAAAAACTAGAACAGTTAAAAAAAATCAAGTCTAGCTGTCTTGGCTAGGCAGACCATTTTATGTAAGGACACAAGCTAGTTCATGACACCTTGCCGGTCATGGTCCTGTGGCTCTGTCCTTTGTCTGTCAGTCTCCAAAGGTCTCACATTTTCTAATTCACTCTTCTTCTCAGAGTCTTCATAACCCTATTTAAGGCTGGATCTTGGCCCTGTTCCCTGGACCACCCGGGGAAAGCACATAGTGAGCTGACATAGCCCACTGCAATCAGAGATCAGAGACCCCGGCCAGCAGGGCAAGACTGATAGCAGTTGAGGAAGGGACTAAAGCAGCAGAGGGTCACTTATGGAGTCAGGGTTTGGGAGGAGTAAAACTAAGCTTCACACCTGGGAGACACAACAGGGCCAACCACTAGAATGGGCTTAGCTCTAGGCTGGGGTCAGGGGCCCTAGCACTTCCTAACCTTTTTGCCAGGTTCTTGATGCACAGCGTACTCTGACATCTACATCAGCTGACTGACTGACACTCTTTGGAACCTCAGGGAATTCTTTTAGGGGTTAAAGTATCTATCTCATTCATAAGGCTGGCAGTAACAGCTAACGGTATGCATTCTGTCTAAAGGCAAGGGTTATGCCTACATTGCTGTGCAGGGTACCTAGTCCAGAGCCATCTCATCTCCAGCCAGCAGTCCAAACAATGCTCTGGATTTACTGCCTCCAAATTTGTCAATTAAATACTCCAGCATTTCAGTATCCCTTCACAGAACATTGAGAAGAATAAGTCACAACCCTAAGTATAGACTGGGAAGTCAAGTGAATCGGGACCAAGTTAGGTCTGTGATTAAAAAAAATAAGCTGGCGACCATGTGGGGGTTGAGCAGCTCTCGCTCATCTGTGGTGGCATCCAGAGGAGGGCATCTGGTGTCACAGTGGCTTGTCCAGGTGACAGGCTGCTTACCTTTCCTCAAGTCCTCCTCGGTGGGCATGGAGCCCTGGCACACATGGTAGGAGAGCAGCCTCTGCACTGCGTCACTTAGTGATCGGAACTGACTCTTATCGGGGGTCACAGCGTGGGCTTGGTCCCTCTGTAACTGCTGGAAAATGCTTTAAAAAAGATAGTTCCATGTCAGTGCCGAGTCATGTTAGGATATCTAATCACGATGGTTATTTGCACGCAAAGAAAATGAGACATCCAGAAATGGTATTATTCATGATGCAGTTCTCAGAGTTTTTCCTTCAGTTTTGTATTTTGTAGGCCAGCAGTGGATTTTAGCCTTTGGTCTAACCATCTCCACAGGGACGTTAACTATGACTCTGGCTTCACAAGCAGCATTCCTATCCACCACACACGCCTTGGTGATGCCTGACCACTGGCCGACTGAGCTCATGCTAACATGTCTCTTCTAAACACAGGAGTTTATCAAGCCATGCTTTTCCTCAGAGACTCCTAGGTCATTAAAGGGTTTCTGGTACGTTAAAAAGACAAAGGATTATTCTCCTTAGGAACAAGAGCAAATAGCAGGTTCAAACGACATCTGATATACTCATAGGTCCTGATGAAAACAAACTTGGAAGATTTTCCAAGTCCATTATTATAACCTGACTTTGAGAGATATTATACCCACGGAAGGTTGGGAAGCCCAGAAGTGTTCACAATTAAGCCGTCATTGCCAAAGGTACTCACAAAGCTCCTTTAGTTAGCTGTTTTGCAGCAGGCCTTTTCTGTCCTCCCGTGTGACTGTCCACCTAAAGACAAACGACCAAAAACACCTCTTATTATTCCTTTTTGTAGAAAAAATAAGCAGAATATATTTACCCAAAAAGGTCACTATGTTTCAGATGTTCTCAACTACCTATTAAGAGCATACACTAAGACTGCAGAACGTGCCTGCTAAAAAATAAACAAGTCCATCGACCCCATATCGCAAAGCTGTAACGTGTCAGGGTTATAGAAAGCTGTCAGTTCCTTAGGACTCAGTTTATGCCTGAAAGCTTGAATCCCTAACTCCCTCTACAAATGCATCGCTACATTTCTGAAGTAAATGTATGGGTACTAACTCCACAACATCTGAAAAATCAAAAGACACCACTTAGTTCATCTTCTAGGTGGTAAGTAAGATAGCAAATGCTCTTGGGCTTCTGTTATGCACAGTTCATATGTGTGATCTAGTAGGGCATTTTTTTTTAACATTAAAAAAATTTCATTTTGTTGTTGCTGTTGAGAATATACACAGCAAAACATACACCCATTCAACTGTTTCTACCTGCACAATTCAGTGACATTGATTACATTCTTCGGGTTGTGCAACCATTCTCACCCTCCTTTTCTGAGTTGTTCCTCCCCATTAACATAAACTCATTGCCCCCTAAGTTTCCTATCTATCCTTTCAAGTGGCTGCTAGTAGGGCATTTCTTGTATCATGTTAGGGAAACAAATATGTTTTATGTCAGAACCCTGACAACTGAACTAGATCCTTCACTGGGTTTTCCAGGCAGGCCCAGACCAAAACAAGTTTCATTACACTACCAATTGGCAAGTTTGATGGGAAAGAAACTAAGACCTTAGTAAGCTGAGAACAAACATTTTTTTCTTCCTTTTTAGACCAATGGTTTGAAATGCTTTGAGGTTTATGAGCCAAAGTTGGGTCAACAGACCGTTGCAGAAAAACAAAAATCTCCCAGCATAACTAAGAAGATATGATAATGAACTGTAGCATTCAACAGTAAACTACATTTTTACGTGCCTACTATGTGCTGGCTGCTGGTATATTATTCATTCATGAGTAAATGATAGCATTGTAAGTGTGTCAGAAATGGAACAGACGTATTCATCCTATAAACACCAACAAGGCCTGGCCCACTGGGAAGGTCTTTAGTGACCACACTCCTGAATACCTTGTGGGCACAAACGGTGACTAGCTGACTGTGCACACGATGCCAGACAGAAACTCCAAGCAGAAGATGACATTAAATATTAAGAAGAAGCTATTCAAAGAGTCTTCTACCTGCACAGTTGGCTGGCCAGGAGATGATCCCACTACTTTTTCTTGCTGTGGCTGTGTGGTTCCTAAGGATGCCGGTATAACTTTGCTTCCAGAATCCTGCCCTACTGGAATTAATACACAAGACAATGTTCAACAGGAATAGTACATCAGGTTTATCATTTGGCCTCTAGAGCCCAATGTATACAGATTACTTAACATTCTAAAAGGGATTTCTTTACCATGGATGCTTGCTATGAGGAAGGAGACCAGGGAAGTACATTTATTAACAAGCTCTAGAATCAGAGGTAAGGATTATTAAAGCCTATTTAGGTAGTAGGTAAATAGACAGGTAATAAACATAAATAAATCAATGGCAGTAAGAACATAAAAGCTGAAATGCTATTGTTTTGGATTATCTGTAGTCTGAGAAATAGGCCTCATGCCAGTAAATCTGTCAGCTCTGCAGAACCTCAAAATACTAGAACTTAGGGAAAGGGAGGCCCAAAGGGTGGACTGACTACGAATGTTCAAGCTTTTGTCTTTTCTAGTACTTATGGAGTAGTGTGGGTGTTCAAAGCCTTAGGGAAAAATGGAAGAAATAGCTCACAAGTTTTCAGTCTCGAGGGGATTCCAAATATAAATATACAAAGCAACATGAAGATAATTACAAAGTCCCATGTGTCATATAACACTGTATAATACTAGATTTTGTTTCTAAGAAGCACGTTTTTTTCATATAGTGTGTCAGAACGTAATCAGAAGTGCTTTTTTCTTTTTTAGGGGTATATAAAATGATGGCACTTCTTACAATTGATGGTATCTTATAGTTGACATAACATGGGATATTGTCTGTGTGGAAAGGAGATAGAAAAAAGGAGTGACTGGAGTGGAGGTGAGATTATGGCAGAAAGCTTTCATCCAGAGTGAGGCAGGAGAGGAGTCCCCTGTGGGCACTGGGAGGACGGGGACACACCGAGGAGAGCGGACTACAAAGGCTCCTGACCTGGGAGTGCGGTGCTCAGGAGGCCTGGGATCTGGGCTGGCCTCAGGCCGTCTGTGGTCTTGGAAGCTGAGATGGGGGAAGTCTGATTCAAACTTTTTTTCTGAGCCTGTGAAAAATATTACCAACATGGAAAAATTAATTTCATGACTAAAAGCTTTAATAGATTACTTAAAAACCAACGCTCTTAATGCCTACCTAGCATTAACCTTCAGGGGAGACTACAAAACAAGACAAAAACTTTAAAACATGATTCACCTGTCACATCAGGAGACCTGCAAAGCACATCCTTTAAAATCTATAGGCACGCTGAATTTTCTTGACCCCGTTTCGTAGAGATGCTGAGTTGATACCAGCACTGCTCTCTTGCTCCTGGGGCTGTTGTGAAAGTGATGCTGAGAAGGCTGAGGCTGGGATCTCCCCACCAGTTTCCATCCCAGGTAACTGTACATTCATAATATTTATATCCTTAGGATCATGATAAAGGAGCCCTGGTGGTGCAAAGGTTAAGTGCTTGGCTGCTAACCAAAAAGTTGGCAGTTCGAGCCTACCCAATGGTTCTTTGGGAGAAAGACCTGACGATCTGCTTCTGTAAAGATTATAGCCAAGAAAACCCTATGGGGCAGTTCTATTCTATCACACAGGGTCACCATGAGTCAGAATCAACTCAATGACATCAAACAACAGGATTATGATATTTACTATGAGTTCCTATATGGGGTCTGTACAGATTTCGACCACCCGGTCAGGGCCCAAGGGCCAACCCCAAAGCTCTACCGTCAGCACTCATTGTTCGCTGTGTACATAATCTAAAGTACTTGTCATCCCTGCCATCTGGTATGTTTCTAGTTTGTGTCACATCACCATCAGTGGCATGTAATAAGGAAATGTAAATTCAATTTGATGTTTAAAAAAAAACCCCAGAAAAGTCGGTTGCTATTGAGTCAATTGACTCATTGTGACCCCATATGTTACCCTGAGCAGAATAAAATTACAAAAATTAATTCTAATGTTCAAAGTGTTGGTGCTTCTTTACTATAAATGAAGAAGATGAACTGGATGGTATTTAAGAATTAACAAGTTCCTTTTAGCTATAAAAAAAAACCCTGTTACCTCTATAATGCATTTTAAGTAAGACTATAAAGGGCTTTCAAATTATCCTCAATTTTTAATCCTCTGTGCAATTACTATTTCATAATGCAGTAGTTTTCAGAGTTTTTCTTTAGTTTTTATATTTTGTATACCATAGGTGGTTTCAGAGTTTAGTCTAACCATCTCCACAGGGGACTTAAGCTATGACCTTGGCCTACGCACAGTGCTCCCACCAGCCATTCATGTGCGGGCGCTCATACAGACCTTAGCAATTGCTGACCACTGGCCAACTGAGCCCATGCTAACATTTCTGTTCTAAACAATTAACCATTGATTTTTTTTCTAATATAAAAATGGAGAAGAATTTGATATTCTTCCTCCCCATCCCCACCCCCTCAAAAAAAAGAAGACCAGAGGAGGCCACTGCAGAGCTGGAAATGGTCACCTTGCTCATCCTTCCATCAGCAAGAAAGGTCAAACCTGCGCCACTCGAGGTAGACAGGCAAGAAATTCTTTGGGAGAAAACTGCAAGAGGGAAGGTCAATGCCAAAATTTTCCTAGAGTGAGGAATACAGAATCTCCCAGTTTTCAGAGCATTTTCCCTTCGCACAGAGACACTGTGTTGGGGAGAGGCCTGGGGCAAACAACAGTGCGTACAAGCCTCACCACAAATATTTTCAGGGGATAAACACTAAGGGCCACCTTGAAGAAAAAAACAAAACAGATAAAAGTTGAGAAACATATGGTTTAACAGGACACAGCCATATACTAGGTGAGACTCTGAAGTAACAAGACTGACAGATGAACAGACAACCAGAATTAATATGTTCAAATGACCAGTCCTTACAGCAGTGTTAACATACACAATATTTTTAGAATGTCTTTCAATATGCCTAGTTCACATGAAACAGAAGACACTCTCCTGATTGTTTTAGAGCACACATTATTTTTTGATAAAAACGGCCTTACCCAGGCTAACCTCCCACCTTGTTAATCAGACATGGCCTGGAATGACTCCTGGCTATTAAGCAAATAAAACAAAATCCATACACACATATGTAATGAAAGTATAAAGAAAAGCAAGGAAGAGATTACTATTAAGGTCAGGAGAACTTATAGCTTTAAGGCAGAGAGGGGCTGAGGTTGGGAAGGGACATGGGGATGGGTTTCTGGGGTACTGGCAATATTCTGTTTCTTGAGCCGAGCAGTGGTTACGTGGGTATTTGCTTTAAAATTATTTCCTAAATATACACGTAGGCTTTATGTAGTTTTCTAAGCGTGTTCTATTTCATAATAAAGAGGATTAAAAGAAGAAGAAAAAAAACACCAGAATAATCTAATCTAACATCAAATCATGAAAATTTGCCATCATTTGAGGGTATTTTTAAAAAGTATTATAGTCTCCAAAAACAAGGTAATTACTCTTCTAGGGACACCTCTCACTTGAATATGTTTTTGGCCTGTGTGGGGGTTGAGGCTGGCACCAGAGCATTTTAATCCCCTAACTACTGCCTGTGGCCCTGACTGAGTCCCTCAGCAGCCGGCGTCCCTTATGTTGGGATACAATAACCACTCCAAATTGTTACATTGTGGGGCAGGGACGAGGGAGCAGGTGGTGATGGCAGAATCAGAATCCAGTGTGGAACATGGTTTGGCCCGGTTATCAGAATCTCCTGGATGCACCACGTCTGCATGCTGGGAAGCTCTGCTGTTTTAGGGACCACTGTGTCCCTCTAAGTTCCCTGGTGAACTGCTCACTCCCAGTCCTCCTATTTGAGGGCAAGGCTTTGTCTGCCGAGTTCACTGCTGTATCCCCAGCACCACAGTGAGCATACAGCAGAGTTGCTGAATAAAAATAGTAAACAAATTCCATTGCATCATAAGTCACAAAGGCTCTCCCTCCTCCCTACCCAAGCCCCTCTGTCCCCAGCAGCCAATTTCCTCTCATTTCCCCCGAATTTAGGTTGCCCCCAGCTAACGATCTTTTCCAGAAATAAAACATACCATTCTCTGGCTTTTAGCAAACTCTTAGCAAAGACTTGCTCAGGAAACACATTTTCTTTGCAAATATAAAGGCTACTTCAGGATAGTTTGTTGAGAATGTGCCTCTGAGAACTCTGCTAATATCAATGTACAATTTTAACTCTTTAGACCTCATGAATTATCTCGATGCCACGTGAACACGTATCAAAACCACAACAAACGAGACTACTTAATATATCACTTCCCCCCTCTGCGATACACTTCAAAAGAAGCCATTACCTGCTAGTAAGATATGTGAAGATGATATTTGAGCCCTAGTGGTGCAGTGGTTAACGCAGTCAGCTGCTAACTGAAAGACTGGTGGTTTGAACCCATCTTTCTCGTGAGAGAAAGATGTGGCAGTCTGCTTCCGTCAGGTTTACAGCCTTGGAAACCCTATGGGGCAGTTCTACACTGTCCTATAGAGTTGCTATGAGATGGCAGTGGGTTTGGTTTTAAGATGACATTCATCAAATAGTACCATCTGATGAACGAAGGAGACCATTTAGAGTCTGCCTAGCCCCCACTCTCCTCTGGGAATTGCCCATTGCCACAGAAATGGGCCGGGGGCCAGCAAGGTGTGTTACCTGTCCGAGGGCAGGTAAAAGCTAAAATCCAGGGAAGGAGTACTTCCTCCTCGCCCACTCCCCATGTACAAGTGCCAAGCCTGCCAGTGGAGAGGCTGATGTACCCAGAAGGGTGCCTTTTTCTGTTTCAACCCCGAGGAGGGCTTTTTCCTAATTTGTATGAGAGCCCTGTATAGAGCAGCAGAGGCCCTGGGTGGCCACTTCTTCATGTTGCCCAGAAAGGACCCTGCTCCTCTGTCCATGGTTTCCTGAACTACGTGTGGTCCAATCAGAAATGATCTCTTGGGAACTGGGACTGGGGGGATACCCAAGGGCAGTGGTTCTCAAGTGCACGTTTATAGACTGATTGCATCAAGATCACGTGGGGGAGCTTCTGAAAAATAAACTTTCTGGGTTCCATCCACAAAGATCCATTCAGAAATCCAGTGTGGAGTTTAGGAATCTATAATCTTTGAAAGCTCTCCAGCTGATTCTGATGAATTGCTAGGTGTTGGAAACCACTGCACTTGCCAGTCTGTTCCATGCTTGGCTTAGAATAATACAGAGCTGGCCCGAAGGTGGCCATTTTGGTCCAGGACAGTGAGAGAGAACAATGAAGGCAGGTAAGAGGCCATGCTCTCTTGGACAGGCAGAGGGCAGCAGAGCCTGGTTTCTGACCCTCACAAGGCACTACACTATACCTTCTGGCTCACTCTTCTTTTATTATTGTGGTGAAAATATACACACCAAATCCTGGCTCATTCTCGTAACACATTCTCCTTTTTTGCTAAATGTGTTAGGGTGAGTTTCTGATACTTGCCACCAAAAGTAATTTGACTTAGACATTTGGGTGTCCACTGGGTAAACCAGTTCCAGTTGCTGTCGATTCCAACTCATGGTGGCCCCATGTATGTCAGAGTAGAACTGTGCTCCATAGAGTTTTCAGTGGCCTATTTTTCAGAAGGGGATCGCTGGGTCTTTCTTCAGAGGTGCCTCTGGGTAGACTCGAGCTGCCAACCTTTCAGTTAGCAGTTGAGCACATTAACCATTTGCACCACCCAGGGACTCCACTGTATACACAGCACTGTGGTAATCACAGAGAAGGCAGCCAAACGAACCACACACAGTCTTAACCCTCTGAGAGCTTACAATCCAGAAAACACACAGCCCTCCTACACACAATCCGTCGGTGCCGCTGTAATTCATGGTGTCCCACCTGAACTGGGCCCTCACACCTCTCCAGGCATCCTTTCTTTCTCCTGGTCAGCTTCTTCGCTCATTTCCCACTGAATCTTATTTCATTATCTTCAAACTGACAAACCAGCTGAGAACCCATTCAACCTTCTACCACCGAAGCCACAACCTTACCTGCATCCCCATTCATCCTTCCCCCACTTCTCTGGTTACAATGGAAGAAGCGCCCCTCCTT